CTATAGTGATTCTGAAGACATTAAACTTTGTTTGCTGTTTTAATCATTTTGTCAATAAATGTACACCAGAGTATAATTTCTCCTTGATACAAATGTGCAATTAGTATTAGCACTAATGGATGCTATACATGATACCAGAGAAAAGTATGTGCTTCTGTAATCCTTAACAGCCATACATGAAGCAAATTCATCACGGCAGCAACACAGCAAGATAAAAGTAGTAAGTAACCACAGATAAAGAATCTACCATAGGTCAGCTCAACACACAACTTAAACTGTGTTTTTGTCTGCCTCATAAAACAAATGACGGAGAAACCCAAGGCTGAGGAGAGTTTAAATAAACAAACTTAAAATTCAACAAGGAGATGATGATTTTGTTTATGGTGTTCCATGCACTACTTTTAAGCACAAAATTATCACCATTGCTTTTGCTTTAATTACATTACCGGATTATATATCATGTAAATACATCAAAGGGCCTGTTGTAAACCAAACAAATAAGAGAAGTTTCTTATTGCAGATTAATAGAAATAGCAAGGTTGTTTCCCAACTGACTTGCAAAGAAAAATTCATACATAGTCTTATTTTGATGCAGACATCTAAAATTATCAGTCTTGCAACTGCGGATGTTTTTTTTTCCACAATTGTAAAAGCAAAGGTTCATGCACGTACGCTCACAACTACATTAAAGCACAAGGGATATTGTTCAAAACATACACATGGGCAGGTTTCCTTACAGAGAGTCTGAGGAATTCAGTCTGGCTGCTTTTCTGGGCTGTCTCATCCTTCATGCTTTATTGCTTTCTGATCTAGTCACATTGCAAGTTTCATTTTGCCTTAAGTAGGTTTTAGAATAGCTTTTATACTCAGACAGCTCTTGCCTTCAGTAGAAGACAAATTTCATTATCAGTATGTTTTCTATGATACAAGTATAAAAGCCTATCTATATTACATACTCATCTCCATATCATCAAGATGTTTTATCTGATCCCAATATACTGTGGGATTTCTTCGTCCCTATATATGCTAAAAATGGAGCACTGACAAGATTTTGCATCCCAGGTGAAACACTATCTTGTCTTTCTGTATCTGCCATGGGAGCAGAGTGTTAACGGAACTGCGTAAAACTTGTTCTAATGTAAGTTTTAAAACAATTTGATTAACATGAGAAAAATACTATGTCACTTAATTGACAAGGTGTCCAGTTTTGTGCACTGATAGATCCCCAAAGTACAGCTGAAATGTGAACTGCCATAGCAAAGAGCATGTTTGCAGGGGAGGCAGAGTTACACTAGTTCCACATAATCACTTAATCAGATAGATACGTATGTGTTGAATAGAGTGTACTTATCAGTGCTGCTCAATTCATTTTAGGTTGTGCAATGGAGCAAACATCTACCTGATGCTACAAACAGCTGAGATAACATGCCTGCTGATCTAATTCAAAACATCATGCCTGCTTTCTTAGCTACTCGCATCAGAGGCTGTCACAGCAACAGCCACTTTTTAAACTCTGGGTTAGGAACATGCCTATGCTGCTGTTATTTCTCATCTGAAGCCAAAAAAATACTTCTAGAATTGCTTCTCCAGAAATTGAGGCAATGTTCTGAGAGGGCACAGTGACATTTAAAGCACTAACCCTAATGTTACAGCAACTGAAGAGGAGTGGATCGCTCAGCTGTGATCAGACACGAGGAACTATTTTACAACACAAATGAAAAAAGCTGCACAGAGTTGCAGCCCTCTGCAGAGCTCTTTACAGAAAGTTTAATGCAGAAATGAAGCTGAACCACAGAGCTGTCATCCCACAACTCTGTGAACACTAACAAATATGCAAGGAAAATGGCCAGGTTGGACAGAGCCTTGGGCAACACCATCTAGTGTGAGGTGTGCCTGACCATGGAAGGGGGTTGGAACTTGATGATCTTAAGGTCCTTTCCAACCCAAACCATTCTATGATTCTATTAAAAAAGGCACAGCCTACACACTGGGGACTGTACTGTAGACACACCACAGAATTTAACTCAGTGACACCCTTGATAGCAAAACAAATACACAAGTTAACATCCTGCAAAGGAAGGGTGACTACATCAGTAGGTTACTAACTCAGACCATGAACTTTACCTCAAAATGTTGCACTTAACTTTTAAACAATGTTTAGGAGAACTTCTAACATTTTGCTCACTGACACAGCTATATTTTATTAAGGACAAAAATGGGTTCGTCTACAAAAATTAAATTATACTCATTTGACTATATCTAGTCAATAGGAAACAGTCTTAATTATGAGATTGTGCTGTCAAATAAATGCAAATTCATGTCTTTCATATTCTGGTTTAAAAATTCAAACTCAAGCCTATTATAAATTAAAATCAATATTTGAAACATTTCGGCTTTCAATGATAAGCAACAACTGAAAGAATCAAGTTATGAAATATACTGATAGGAACAGAATGAATTATTAAATAAACCTTGGGAGGAAAAAGAGATTTATATTACACACATTTAAATATCAATTACGAAAACGAACAATAAAGGATCATGAACTGAATCATCTGTTTTACAACCAATCCTCTGAAGAACTGACTGAGAACAAGAGGGAAACCAAGCTTGCAATGTAAATTTCACTCAAACTGAAATAGGTAAAAAATTTAAATTTATTAACTAGCTAAGATTTGCAATCTCTAAGCTTAAAATGAGTAAGAACTGCATTTATAGAAGGAAATTACATAAAATAGAACAGTGGTACCTGCTATTGCACATCATGCTTGTTACCTCCTAAAGGGAAAATCCAAGGATCTGCTCAGACACAAAATAAAATTGCACAGAAAAAAAACCCACCCAGAAGTTTCCCTTAAGAGCACCTTATTTACTGTATTGCAAATCAATTTCTTCATAGGAATAAGAACAAGGTATACATTTGTGTATGTCTAAAGCCTACTAAACCAGTTCCAGTTCGCATTTTCAGTGTGCAACAGTCACCCTGGCCAGACTGCAGCCTTGCCTACTAGTCTGAGCCAAGACATGGGTCTGACTGTCCCATCCTCACCCCAGCCTACGAGCAGCTGCCCCTGAACACAGCTGGGGGTGTGTGTACACATAGGTGCAAGCCCACTGATCCAGAGACTTGCACTTTAACCTCTGAGGGCCTTACTTGCCCGAGAACACTTCTCTAACATTCACCTAAAGAGCAGATCACAGATTGTTTCTGGAAGGCTGCTACTGCCTGAGGTTGTACTGAAATAAAAAGGTATCTCAAAAAACTCCCCGTATCAGCAAACACCAAACAATGTTAAGACTTCAGTGAGAACTGTCTCCATACCATGCTCACAGCCCTTCAAAGCACCACAGCCTCCACTGAAACCTATTAAAAGCTGTGGCATGCGGATTGCAATGTCTTCAAACATTCACTGAGAGATACCTGGACTTTAAAAGTACTGTGTAAGCCATAAGTACTTCCCATCCCCACCACCCTTTGCAAGTAAACTCAAAATTAAATATTGCAATAATATCTATTTTGAAAGAGACCGATCTTCCTTTAAACATAGAGCTTTTCTCTCTACAATGGAAGGCTTCTGTATGTTTTACAGAAATATAATCAGTGGGGATGGTGCTACCCAGGATGAAATAAAGTGCTAGTGGTTCAGCTACTTTTGACAGGTAACAACAACTGTGATTATTTACCTGTGATTCGTAACTCAGTGTTTTGATACTACCAGCCCAAGTGGAACTAGCTGATTGAGAAGCACTTTGAAAATACTAATGAGTAGTCCCCTCATGCAAAGAGCCAATGTTACCGTTCAAGACAGGTGGCTGCACACATTTGCTAGATAGGGGGGGATCCTGCTGGTACTAAAGGACTCACTGAGAAAGGACAGACTACAGTGTAATTTATGTTAACAGGAGAACAGTCCTTTACATCAGTAAACGCCACGCTCTACAGCATTGCCCTCACTTGTAAAATGCACAATCCCAGACAGCAGCTTCCCTTTAAATCAAGGTTCTGAAGCCCCAGGCTGTCCTCTGCTCCTTTGCGAAACATTTGGAACAGAGATCACATCCACACTCAGGGACATCAGGGAGCTGCTGCTAGCTTGCCCTTTCTAACACCCAAGCATCTTAATGGCTGTCTGCAGCAAGAGCAGGATGCTCCATGAACTCCAGCTCCCACAAACACACTTGTGTGCCTCCCAGCCCCGAATTCCCTAATCAAGCTGTAGTCTTCTACTCACATAGTTGGTTACAGAACAATGTGGCAGTCTAAAAGATGACACTGTTCCCTCTAAATCTCAAATGCTTTCCATGACATTGAATTAAAAAAAGGCAATTTATAACACTGATCAAAAGGCAACAGAGGCAAGATGCAGAATCACAGCTAGCTTCCTCTTGAGCACATTTATCTCCAACTATGCTAACTTTTATATTCATTACAGTAGGGGGAAAGCCCCCTTACACTTAGAAAATTGGTATGGCAAATATAACCATTTGTGCCTCCTCCCCCAAACTCTTTTCCCCTCTCTCCCTTCTGTTTGATGTTTTCTTTTATAGACAAAAGCTAAGATGACTACACTTTCCTTCCCTTAAGAGGAACCTTCAGAGTATATGAACTGCTAGAGTAAATAAAAGAAAGAAGGGAATTACTAATTTAATGCTGTTCCATCTCTTGGGGAAAAAGCCCATGTAATTAACTGTAATGAGATTAAACTAACTTGTTATTAATTTCCCAGTGCTGGGAAACTAAATCTGAGACCCATAAGACTGTGTATTAACAGCTTTATCAACATTTGGCTTGCATCCTTCAGTGTTTGCACCAGTTTTAAAGGAAAATTATTAACTTCATTGAGTTGCAAAGTCACTTAGAAGTATAAGAAATGGAAACTGGTCCCTTTAGGCAGGGATGCCAGTTTTCTCTGTAGCTGAAGACTATGAATGGGTGGAGCCAAAAGCCACAACTGCTCTTCAACACAAACAAGGTATAATTATAATTATTAAATCCTTACCAAAGCTTTTTTCCATTACTTCCTTCTGACACATATCTTGAACATTCACTGTACAATTCACGATGAACTCTGGAGCAGAGCAGTCATTATTTAGCTGGAACTCCTCACACTGGTAGCACTGTATTTGCAAACCCAAACCTAGAACAGATCGACTTTGGTCAGGATAATAGTATTAAAAAAAAACAACAAAACAAAACAAAAATCAACACGTGCCACAAATCCTTACCCTTCCGTCTTCGCATGTCGCTGTGCCTATCTACGCAGCAGCCCAGCAGAAGCGCGACTTCTAATCAAACAACGCAAGATCAACGCGTCGCCCGCGCTGCTGAGCCTGCTCCTTACCGCGCTCAGCACTTGGTTTAGGAGCGGGCTGCCTTCCGCGGGGCTCCGTGGGGGACACCCGGCGGTACCGGCGCTGCCGCCAGCAGGCGGCGGGGCACGGGCATTGGCATAGTCCCCGCAGCGCAGCCGCTGCCCATCGCCTGCCCAGCCACCCCCAGCGAGGCGTGATGAAAACTGCCCCCGCTCCAGAGACAGCAACCCGGCTAATAGATGTGCTTCGGCTCTTATCTGTACCGACGGGTTTACTTAGCTACTAATTAATTACAAATGATTTAATTACTATTTTGCCATGCACAATTACAGCTGCGGAGCATCCTTCACTTCCCTCCTTTATCATGCAAACGAGGTGCTCTGTACAGCTCTCCGGGAGCCGCTCCTCCCAGCCCTCCGCTGAGGCCGCAGCGCGGCGACTCCCAGAACCCCGTCGGGGAGCAGCGCCTTGTGCCGCGCATGGGACCCCTCGCCCGCGTCTCCCCTTCGCCGGGAGCTGACGGCGGCGGGACCGATCCCGCTCCCCTCCGGGGCTGACGGCCAGCTCGGGGTAGGCGTGCGCCGCACCCGCGGTCAGCAGGCGGCATTCGCGGAATGCGGTACCGGGTGCTGCGTGCGGAGCGACCCCCGCCTCGCTCCGCGGGTGGCCAGCGACGGGGACACCGGGCCGGGCTGTGCCCTCGCTCGCGGCAGGGAGCTCCACGGGGTGCGGGCAGGACGCCGGGCTCCCTTGCCCCGTTCCCGCTGAGCGCTCGGTGCCAGCTCCGTCGAAGAGACGAAGCATTCCAGCGGCCGCTGTGCCGGGCAGCGCGGGCTCGCCGCAGGTGCCTCTGGGGGAAGCTTTGCGGAGCCCCTTACCTGGAGCCAGGCACAATCCCCAGAAAGTTGCAGCAAGGAGGAAGAGCCGCATCCTCCCGGAGCTGCGGCCGCCGGGCTGGCGTGCAGTCGCGAAGGGGCATCAGAAGGAGCGAGGCAGCGGAGCCGCCGCGCACTTGTGCCGCTTCCCCGCCGCCTCCGCTGCGGAGAGGAGCCGCGGGAGCAGGCGGCGGAGCCCGCCCGGCTCCCGCCCTGCTCAGCCCCGCGCCGCGTTCCAGCCTCGCTGGAGTTGAGCTCTGAGACTGGAAGAAACTGCACGAGCAGCGAGAGCCGGGGGGCGGCTCCCCCCTCCCTCCCCCAGCACCATGTGATGCCAGCGGAGCGGGGCGGGGATCCCCGACAGCCGCCGCGCACCTCACCTCGCCGGCCGCGCGTCGGAGGCTGGCAAAGTTCAGCGAGGCAAAAGGCTTCGCGCTCCCGCCCGCAGCCCCGTGCGGCGCCCCGCCCGCCCCAAGCACACAGGTGGCGGCCGGAGTGAGCCCTGGGGGAGTCACGGGCCGCTCCCCGATGCGAGGCGTCCCTTACCGCCCGCAGACGCAGCCCGCTGTCCCCGGGAGGGGCTGAGGGAGCGCGCGACCCTCGCTCCTTTTCTTCCTTCGGCCCCCTGAGAGGGGACTCAATCGCAAGCAGATGGAAGCGGCCGCGCCGGCCGCGTACGTGTCGGTGCGGACCCCGCTGCCTCCCCCGCTCACACGCGCCCGGGCTGGCGCTCGGCACTGTCTCCCCGCCGCTGGCTGCCCATGGGCGCTGCGGGGCCCGCCGCGGCCGTCCGCACCGGGGCGCGTCGGCGCCTCTGCGGCGGCGGGCGCGAGCGGAGGAGAGGTAAAGTAGGGCAGGGGCAGGCCGGAGTGCGGCCGGGTCCCCCGTGCAGGAGCGGCCTTTCGCGGCCTGTTTTGCTCCAGCCCGAGGGGTGACTCGCCTCCCCTCGCCGGCTAACCGCGCTGTCCTCGTGTCACAGCCTCTTCTGCCAGCGAAGAGCCTGAATTAAACTGCTTTTTAGTTCTCAGTTCATCTGCATGAGTGAATCCTACCTGCACGCACGTTGTTTGGGAGCAGGGAGGTCGGCTGAGCTGAACAGGGTACAGTCTGCACGAAATCCCATACGGATTCACTGTGTGATGCCAATGCCCTTCCAGTGCACCCCCTCTCAGCTGTACCGACTGCATATAACCCTGCACTTAACCACAGCATCATGAAGGGGTTTGGGTTGGAAAGGACCTTAAAGATCGTGTTTCATCTAGTCACACCAACCCCTTCCAAAATCCCCTCTCCAGGCACAAATATGCAAGATAAATTTTATTTATCAAAGACGTCCCGATCAAAATTTCTTAAAAGTTTAAAAAGACAACTCAAGTTTGTGGCAGAAATGACTTGAAATACAGCAAATTGCACAAAATATCAACACTGATCATACAGCTCTTCAAAGATAACAGGCATGTGCTAAAGAAACTGTGGAGTCTAGAAATATTCCAAATATGTCTAGTTTACTGATTGCTGTACAAAAAGCAGTTATAAATACTTCACATCTAGAAAAAAATACACAGAATCTTTGAAATAGACTTTCCCTTACATATAAACAACCTTTGTAGAAAAAGCCAAATGCAGCCGATACAGGCCAATCCCCCTGCTCCTAGATATGTTTCAACTAGTATGGGTTAGCATCAACCTCTTTTTGAAGTGTGCCACAAACAGGAGTTGGGTTTCATATATTAAAAATAATTTTAACGCATACAATGTAATTACGACCAAACAGGGACTAGAAAACATCACACAGTATGGTACATTTGACGTTTGATGGGAAATGAGTACACAGGAGGTGGAAGTAGAGAAACTGTGTTGCAGTCAGAAGTGAGGGGCGGTTTATGCAGCTCTCATTCACACAAGACTCCCGGTGTGTCAGCAGTGGATTAGTCTGACCCTGGTCTTTCAGATATGTGTATGATTGATGAAGTCAATACCAGCAGCATCAGGCCTTTTAATGTATTCATTTTCTTGTCATGTTAGAAGTCAAAACCTTCTCAAAATAAGACACCTGTTGTAGAACTGTAATAACCGAAATGCATATTTCCCTAGAACACCTATATGGAATTGCACTAAAAATAAACAATAAAACATATTATGTAAAAAAGGAGTCCAAGAAAGGTCATTACAGACAATTTGGCAGACTCAGGTCTATGGTAACGCAGTTTTTCTACATACAGTTTAAAGACTAGAACAATTATAAATCTTTCTTAAAAAATCTACCAACTTTTCTTGTTAATATTAACATCAGTTTCTTTAAGTTAGTAGTCTGCCATTACAGGAGCATAGCACCATTTTAATATTTATTGCTGTCATTTATCCCTACAAATATATTTTCCCAAAATACTTACAACTGTACAAATATTCACAAAAGTGCAAAATTCAGACTTTATTCTGTGTCACTGCTGTGTTCAGTGTCGAGTCTCACGCACCATGATGACTACTGTCTTGCCTTTCTTATTGCTGTGTGGTGGGAACTCACAACACCCTGCCGTGAGCACAGCGATTCAGAGGGAGAATTTTCAACAGCCGCCTCTTCTCCCCCCCTAACTCCCCACTCGCCTTCAGCTGTGTTACGTGCTATAGCCACAACCCACAGGGAAGGGTCTCTAGACATCGTTTGACCCTTGGCTGGTGCAAGAGGAGAAGCTATCATATAGAGAATCACTCAAGGATTCTAAATTGTCCATATCGTGCCTTCCCGAGCTATTTAAGGAAGCTTCTTCTTTCTTCCCATTTTCTTCCTTTTGTCCTTCAACCTTGTTCAGACAGTTCTTCTCTTTTTCAAATAAAAGTACGTTATTGCTGTTAAATTTATTGAGAGACTCCAGGGAAATTTTAGATAATCCATTCTGGGAATCTTCTGTTTCTTCAGTTTGCTTCAATTTCTGTAATAAGTGAGGGAAATATTAGAAACATATTTCTTATAAAGTTATCCTACTGTACACCATTAATTACCGTCTTTCCCAAGTTCACAGGGTTAAAGGAAAAAGATTGTTAGATGCTTAAATATCTGTTATCATTAAATAGAATGTTAACATCCATTTTAGGAGAAATTGTAGCTTTAATGATTCTGCTGAGACAAATAGGACTCCATTTACACAACAGTAAAGTGCTATTAATGTCTGAAGTAGCAGATCCTGAGTACGCGGATATTAAGCGTCTCCAGCATCTTCACGGTTACATCTTCTGTACAAATACTTTGGGAGGCATGTTTGAATGGGTGTTTGTTTAAGTTGAGTTTGGAGTCTGCTAAAAAAAACGAAGTGCATAGATATGTTCAGAGGGGAAAACAGCATTTTTTATAAATTACAGACACAAATGAAATGTGCTAGAGAGCTACCTCACATTTCACATGGAGCAAGCCTATTGATTTCCACGGACCCAAACTCTCTCTAACCAACAAGAAAGAAACAAGGCAGGAAATTACACTGAAAAGGGCCAATCCCCACAGACCAGAATCAATCAGATACCAGCCAAGCTTACTTGGAGAAGTGTTGTAATTCTGCAGGAACACCGGACGATGCATTAGCACATTATATTAAAATCGCACAGTAGGATTATACAGAGTAATTTTATCCCTTTGGTAGCTACTGGTATTCTCAATGAGTGATCTGCCCAAGGATTAGTTAGAGAACTGCACTGGGAGTGGTTCAATAAAAATTACCTGCTGTTCATACACAGGGTGTTTCAAAGTCTGCCTAACTAACTCCTCTTACAGATAATATTATCACTGAAGTATGAGATAACATTCAACATTTTACATTCAACATTCAACAACCTCTCGGAGAGATAAGAGTCAAGAATTTTGAGAGATGCTGTCAGAGTGCAAGCCATTCCTCATTTTTGGTATTACCGTCAGATAGCGAAGACTGAACCAGTAAAGTGCTGTCAATCCAAGACAATATTTTTGTTTAGATAGAAAATGAAACGGTATTTTAAGCACACTGAAAATACAGTGCATCCAGATGTATGGATGATGTGGATCATTACGTGTACAGTTATAAAGGGTCGTTAGAATTTTTGGAAGAATTCAAGTTCCAGGTAAGTCCAGTGTTATGCATGCTGTGCTGCTTATCCTCAGAAATCTTGTGCTAGAGGAAGACAAATCCCTACATAGTTTGATTGCTTGTTTTTATGGCTAGTTAGATAAAAATCGAAATGCCAGTCCAATGACTGCTTATACTGTGATCTTGTCATATTTCATCAGCTAACAATGCCTGGATGAGGTTAGTATTTTTATCAAATGTTTCAAACGTTAAGCAAAGCAACAGGAGATGCTAGAGTCTTAATAAATGAAAATTTTCTCTTTGGTTCATTAATTAATCTTCAGTCCAAAAGGTTTTAGGAGACGTTATGTTAGATTATTTTAGATGACAAAACTCAAGACAGTTGAGGTCTTCAATATCTGTAATTAAAATGTTTCCTGAAAATACTTGGTAACAAAACAAAGACAAATTTAGGACCCTTTCATAGAAATTCACCACAATTTCAGCTTAGAACGTTCCTCCCTTTGCCCTCCTTTAAAATACTATGCACTATTCCTGAAACAGTGTTTCAGTTCTCTGTAGACCAGATGAGAAATTTCTCAGACACGGCATCAATACCATGTGTATTAGCAATTTTTTGCTCTTCAGAGTATTAAACCTGAAATACTTTATTATATGACAGACTAAACGATTTTTCTTTGTGTATATTTTTCCCACTTCACAGAGTTTTTTTTTTTAAATAAATTGAATATGGCTACTTAGCACAGACTTGGGTCTGCAAGAAGTCAATACTGGTGTTAGTAAGGTCTATGATAAAACTTGCATTGATTCAAATGGAGCCAATTCCCACTATTGGGTAGGAGGAGCAGAGACATCTAGAGTATTTCCTGCACAGAGCAGTCCAGATGAAGTATTGAAATATGAGCAGGATCTTTGGCTGGCTGAAGAATGGATTTAAGCCAGTGGACAGACTGGAGTGAATTCAGCAGTATATTCTGCATATATGTAGTATCAATAATTTATTATACCCTTACAAGTACAACCTAGACTACAATCCTACTTTAATCACACCCTGGTTTCTCATTTAATATAAGGCTAAGTTTATAAAATATATTAGGAAACTGCAGGGAACAGAATTATTCTCTACAAATTTTAAGCAAAATCACTGAATTGAATCAAATGAAACTGAAGTGAACAGAAACCTGTCAGTGAAGCCCATTGGCAAAAGGTACACAGAATATTGAATAGTGCATCTACGATACGTC